CAGCTGTTTTCTTCTTTCAAAGCCACAGTGCTTTTTGGTATTTTACAACTACGAAATAAAGGAAGTCATGATGGGAGGAGTCTGTCAAGACTGGGAGAAAACCCAAGATACAAAAGCTATCTATCAGCTGGATTTCTGCAGAGGAAATCCAATAGAGATAAAGACAAAGCAAGCACTTTGATCTCAAACTGCATGGGAATGACTGCATTTAGCTGAGCAGAGGGCTGGGCACTGGCTGGGCTGTGATAACCGCCATCAGTATGGCAAGGAAATTCAACTACTTAGGAAAAGGCCATCACCTTGAATTTGGTTTTGTTCCTCTCTCTCTAACAAAGCAGAGGCTGAAAAGCAAAGAAGGTGTGGCTGTGTCCTAGGCACCATGTGCAGAATTCTGTGCTCTCTGCTGGGAGCCACACTTGAAGGCCATTAACACAGTAAATGGACTCAAAGGCTGGCAAAGGGATTTAAACTGTCAAATAAGAAACAGCTGGTGGAAATGGGCATACTTCAAGGGCAGCAGAGGTCTTCAGAGTCAGACAGACAGACAGACAAGGGAAGTCGGCCAGTAAAGACAAGACAGCAAAATGCAGTCTGTCAACACCTGTGCAATTCACTGTCATCAGATATGTAGCACAACCCCACAATATTTTCATCTGATTTCTAACATGAAATCTCCCTTTCTCTAAACGTGTCTGTGTAAGTTGGGCAAGCCTTATTTGACTCAAACACCAGTGTGCAATCCGTGTCAAAGCGAAGGAGGAAACATGGTGACTGTCTCCCCACATATGAGATTGTTCTAAGAAGTCCATAATGATGACACTCGGAAGGGACAAAAACCACAGCTAGATCTAAGGAAATACCTTCTTGACTGAGTCTGCATGCTGGGATGGTGGCATCGCTGTCAGCTTTAGGTGGAGGCAGGTAAGAAAATACTACTGACTAGTTTAAGAGCCTTACATTTGCTATGTCTAGCTTCAGTCGGATCTCCCAGGCTCTTAGTCTTCTCTGCTACATCCCCTACTCACCCCCAACCCCATCACCAACAGAGCAACCGGGTAACACAGCCTCTTATCTACCAGTGGCGTGGTTTTTAGATTTCTTTTCTTTCTTTTTTATGTGCATGAGTGTTTGGCCTGAAAGTATGTATGTGTAGCACACACATGCCCAATGCTTGTGGAAGTCAGAAGAGTGCATCAGATTCCCTTAAACTGGAGTTACAGATGGCTGTGAGCCACCATGTGGGTGCTGAGAACCGAACCCAGATCCTCTGTAAGAACAAGTACTCTTAGCTGAGTCATCTCTCCAGCCTCTCAGTGACCTTAAAGAATACAGCCTCTCCGTGACCTTAAAGAATAAAATCTTAAGCTGCTGCTGCTGGTGGTGGTAAAGGTGGTAGCAGCAGCTGTACACACCTTTAACCCCTGCACTCAGGAGGAGGAGGCTGGCAGATCTCTCAGTTCAAGGCCAGCCTGGTCTACAGAGTGAGTTCCAAGACAGCCAGTTAAGAATAAATTTTTTCTTTTTTATGATTTTTACTTATTTTTATCTTATGTGCATTGGTGTTTTGCCTGTATGTGTATCTGTATGAGGGTCTCATAGCCCCTGGAGCTGGAGTTACAGACAGATGTGAGCTACCCAGGTCTTCTGGAAGAACAGTCAGTGCTCCTAACAACTGACCATCTCTCCATCCCCTAAAGAATAAATTCTATGGAAGGGGGAAAACAAAAAAACCACAAAGATGGCAAAGAACTTATACAATAATTAAAAACACTATTATAATCCACCATCACAATGTGTCTATATTTTTTATTTATTTTTAAACACATTATTTATTTGTATGTATATATGTGTGCCTGTGTGTGTGTCCAAGGAGATCAGAGCAGGGTTGGCTCCCTGAACCTCGTGATTCAGGCAGTTGTGAGCTTCCCAATGTAGATGCTGGAATCAAACTTCAGGTCCTCTACAAGAACAATATGTGCTCTTAAACACAGAGCCATTTCTCCAGCCCTGTGGGTTTACATATTTTAACTGTCTTGTTATATATGCCAAAGGCATATTCACAAACCTATTTCTGTTCTGTATTCCTCCCTGGGGATATAAAATCTTTTTATTGAAAAAGAAAATATTTAAAAGAAACTGAAAACACTTAAAATTGTGACACCAGAGAGGACGGCATAATAGGGTAAATGTCCACAAAGCAACTGTCAGGGTGTTAATCATTAACATCATGGCCAATCTCAAAGGTCCTGGGCCCAGCCAAACGGAAGAATATACAAAAGGAATATGAGCTAATGAGAGGGGATACTGTAGGGCAGGCACCGGAGCTTACTAGACCGCCTGGCTCCCACACTCTACTGCAAGCACAGCTTTGCTCACTGGCTGATGGACGCACACAGGTATTAATTACTGGCTACCTCAGATTCTGCTCTGTATTAGGTAGGTGCTGTTGTCATTCTTCAATAGACTCTCTTGTTCTCCTTTCTATGCTCCATTCCTGGGATTTTAATGGGTCATTTGGATGACTCTGAGCAAAACTCTACACTGCACATGACGAGTCTCTGTCCCTCTGGCACTTCAAGGGTACAGGTTTGTTTTGTTGTTTAGCTTCTGCTTCTCTTACACCTACTTACAAGCCCCCTGAAAGACTACAAATATGAAAAGAGCACATGACTGGTTCAGGCAGGAGAGGTCTGTGCTCACAGGGGAGCTGACCCTGTCCTTGAGTGTCCACAATCTGCTACTTCATGGAACCTACAACATGTCAGCTGTCCCTTTGTTACAGATTTTCAAAAGAAACAGACACCAACAATAAGCAAAATAAATAAAATACATGTTGGTTTGCTTGTTGTGGGGTTTGTTTTGTTTGTTTGTTTGTTGATGCAGGTCTCATGTGGTCCAGCTTGGCCCCAAACTCTCTTAGGTAGGTAAGGATGACCTCAGGTTCCTGATGCTCCTGACCAGCCACTGTCTCAATTACTAACTAAACATCTAGTGGTTGACTTTAGAAGTTTTAATCAAAGGTCCTTGGTTCTCAGTCCTTGTTTCACTATAAACTATATACAAAGACAGTTTCAGCCTCTCCAAGGTGACATCTAGTGAGATGCTCTTATGTCCAATACCTGATTCTACTTCCAACCAATACCTTCCAACCCCTCCCCAGTCACCTAGGCCAGGGATGTAGGTAAATGGTAGACTGCTTGCCACTAAGGCATATGTGAAGCCCTGGGCTCTATAGGTGAAAAACAAATTCCGTCATTCTCAGGTGCACAGAATAGCTTTGCTCCTAACTCCTGTACCACCTTCTGTTAACTCTCCTTTGACCACTAGGCCAGAACTCACAGCGTGTACCAGGTTGGCCTGGAACTCATGGTGAGCCTCTTGTCTCAGCCTTTCTAGTGTTGGGATTATAGGTGCAAACCGTGACACCCTGACCTAGCACCTTCACACAGCGTAGTCCCTTTTCCAGCCAGCACACTTTCTTCTCAAAGTTGCATATTTTGGGCCTTCCCTTCTCCTAGAACCTGCCTTTCTCTCCTACCTGGTCACCGAGTCTTTTCACTCATAGACAAAGCTCTCAGACCTAGTCACTGAGAAGTTCCAACATACACCAAATATTTAATAATGTTTTTCTTCTAGAAAAATGAAGGGTGAGAGAATGAAGACACACACACCACAACTTCTTTTTGTTAGTTCTACTCCTCACCTTTGATGACCAAACACATGTCTCAAGAACTCTGAAGATGCAAGGTCTGGATGCTGTGGCTCTGCCTGCAATCCCAACACTACAGAGGCTGAAGCAACAGGCTCACCAAGAACTCATGGCCAGCCTGGGCTACAGTGTCACCCCCATCTCAAACGACCAAACAAAACAAAAACCCACACAATTCTGAAGATTCACAATTCTAGGTCACCTCCAGAAAGTAATTAGACTAACTTCAACCCTCAGGCTCCCTGCAGGCAAAGAGCTGGGAAATCTCACAGGAAAGGGTATGTTTAACTCACCAAGTAAGAGCAAAGCAGCTTTTCTTTCATCACAAATTATTTAAAAGTCCTCCACTGGAATAAGTTGTTGAGGAAGCATAGTTTCACTCAAGATTATCAATTTCCCAGGGCGAACCACAATACCAGAGTCTACAAAGTTATAGTCATTGGGCCAGAGGGGAAGACAGGGAACTCTGTGGTTGGAACGATGGATGGATGGACGGACGGACAGATGGACGGACAGACAGATGGAGGGACAGACAGATGGACAAACGGATAGAGAGAATCAAGGAGACCAGCGTTGAAATGCCTGACTCTCCAAACTGAAAGAACAAGACAAAGTGAAGAGAAGCAACGCTAAAGCCACCTCTGAAATCACACACTGCATTTCATCCTCCCTAAAAGAAGAGGACTTGATAAGAGTCTTGTGAATTTAAACAGCAACAATCCTGGCTGGGAGGAGCTGGTACCCACCGAATTTCAACAGGGCTAAGCAGCTGGTTCGCTGTGGAGCTAGGGAAAGCACCCGGTGCTGCTGGCTTCATCTCCAAGACTCTGTTCTGGGGATGTCGCCTACAGAGCAGTCACCCCATTCGGGGCGCACAGACCTGCATCCCTCAGCCCTCTGCTGCGGCACACCCAGGCCCAGGGCAGACACAGAGCACAGCAGCACCTGGACCCCCGGCAGGAAGTGGCCACCTGGAGAGAAGAGCTCGATGGGCAGCAGCGCACCGCACAGCTGTGCTGGGAGAGCCGGCCAGATGTGGGAATGAGCCCGGGAAGGTAGGGACTGCGCTTCCACAGGAGATGCTCCCGCGGGCCGCTAGTGCCCGGCCCCAGCGGAGCGAGGCCCCCGGCGCGGGGCAGGCCTACTCGGCTGTGCCGCCACAACAGCTTCCAGGCACAGCCACTGTCGCTCCTGCCCGCCACGGCCGCACGCGCCAGGTTGCTGGGTCTTTCCCACCAGCCCTTCCTGCCCTGCCCGGGTCCTCGGGCTCCCACGCCACCCGAACTCTTACCAGCTTCCAGGCAGAGACGAGCCACCGCCGCCTCCTGCACAAAACTCCGCTTCCCACAAGCCGCTCTGGCTGCCGGCTGCGCGCCTCCCAGGCCGCGCAGGATCCTCCGCTCCCCCTGCCGGCCGGCGGCCATTTCCGACCGGCAACGGCGGAACTTGCCGAAGACCAGGGACGGAAATGGCCGAACCTGCGTTTGCTTTGGGAGAGAATGCAAAGGTGTTCGTGACTTTCCGGATGCGCCCGAAGGTGGAGGCAGAGCCTCGGTGGGCTTGCGGAGGTGGGGTCAGGCATGTGGGCTTGAGGTGGGGCCCCATTAATCCGGGTAACTCCTCAGCCAAAAAATAAACCCGTGTCCTGCTGATGTGCCCTGTGCTAGCAATGACCCACAGTTATAAAACACTTTTTAAAAAACCTCGGGGCTTTGCAAAAACAAACAACAGGTTAATCTATTGAGAATTTGAGGACTAAAAAGAATGCCTTTTAAATACTTTGAAGCCAGCCCCTGTAATTTGGGAATTGGCAAGAACCCTAGAATACTCAAAAAAGAGATGGAGGTGGAGGTAGGAGCAATCCTTAAAGTGGAGTCACCAGAGCTAATTTAGAAAATAGTTTTAAATCTTTTTTTTTGTTTGTTTGTTTCGAGACAGAGTTTCTCTGTGTAGAACTCACTAGAACTCACTCTGTAGACCAGGCTGGCCTCAAAATCAGAGATCTGCCTGCCTCTGCCTCCCCAGTGCTTGGATAAAGGCGTGCACCACTGCCTGGCTTAAAATCATCTTTTAAAATTCACAATTGTATTAAAGTCACATTGTTTCAACATATTTATTTTAATTCACCGGAACAAGGCTATTATTACCCCAGGCGTTCTTCAGCAAAACACAGATACACCCAGCCAGGTTGGCTAATACCCATCCCTGTGCTTGGGTGGTCTCTTCCCTTAAGGAGAACTATGCCCCAGAGATGGTTTCACAGCTGCTGACCCTTCCACCTGCCCTTCCTGGGAAAGCCCATGCCTACTGCCCAGAGCAGGGAGGCTGAGAAAACAGGATTCCACTCCCAAAACCGACAGTTGGTGTTAACCATTCCCTTTGCAAAACAACCTTTAAAATCCCTAGCAACCTGTTTCCTGGAGTACCTTCCTTCTTCTCCAGGTCTTTCCATGCATCTCCAAGTCAGGCTCTGCTCTTTCTCATCTGCCCTATTTTACTTTTCTGTCACTGTGGGAAGACGCCATGACCAAAAACACTTGGGGAGAAAAGGGTTTATCAGGCTTACACATCCGGATCATAGTCTATCACTGAGAGGAGCCAAAGCAGAAACGAAAAAGCAGGCCAGGACCCTGCAAGGTCGACAGTGAAGCAGGGGCCATGCAGGAATGCTGCTTACTGGCTTGTTCCCCATGGCTGGCTCAGTTTTGTTTCTTTATACAACTAGAGACCACCTGCCCAAGAGTGGCACCACCCACAATGGTCTGGGCCCTTCGCATATCAACCATTAATAGAGAAAATGCTCACCAGCACCACCACCACCACACCCTCCACCCCCACCCCACCCCCCCACCTTGCCCAGTCTGAGAGAAGAGTTTCTTCCTCTCCCTCTCTTCCCCTTCCCCCATCTTTTCCTCTCTCTCCACTTGCAGGAGAATGTTTTGAGAAAGGGTCTCTCCCTACACAGCCCTAGCTGTTCTGGAACTCATTACTTAGACCAGACTGACCTGAACTCAGAGATCTGCCTGATTCTGCTGGCATTAAAGGTGTGTGGGCCACCATACCTGAGGTTTCCTCTTCTCAGAGGACTCTACCTTGGGTCAAGTTGACAAAAAAACTAACCAACACCATCCTTCCTCCCTTCCTTGCTGAAGATATGTTACTCTCTTCTCCTATGTTTGAGATCAGAAGGTAGAAATTGACCAGGCACTGGGGGGGGGGCTCCTCTCTTGGCTAAAAGCTGGAAATGACCTTGGGGAATGTCCATAATTTTGTCCTTGCCAGAGGCCAAAGATGCCTAAGCCAAGTGCCTAAGCCAAGTATCTCTAGTTTTCCCATGGCCTGAGACTGAAAATGCCAGGAAGGGGGTCTCCATCGCTTTCACCCCCAAAGGAATACCCCTTTCCTAGAAACCATACTGAGACTGTGGACCAAACTGCAAGGACCTTGACGCCTGGAATGAAAACTGGACTGACCAGCCTATCTGCCACCCTTCCTCCATCCACTAAAGCCCATTAACTCCCAGGCAGTAAAGTTCAACGGAATCCCACTCAAACAACTACCCTCTGTGGTCCATGAATTCCACTCTTTGAATTTAAGAGACAAGGATTTGAATGCCTCTTGCTGAGAAAGGGTCTGCTGCCATCAAAGATGCCAAGATATCCCTGTGTCAGTATTTTCTTTGCCATTAACGCCAGCCTGTTCCACTCCCTTTTACTAGAAATACTCATACATATCCAAGAGCCTTACTACCACAACTGCAATAATAAAATATAACTTCTTCCCTCCCATTTGTTGAGGGAAGTCGGGGAAGCAGGAGCAAACTTTATAAACCAGAGAACTAAAATTGGGGAAAGCTTTGTCCACTTGGCTTGAATGTTCCTTTAACAGTTCATCTACCTGGCTTTCTTCCAGCAGCAGCAGGCAGGAAGAGCCCAATGTGCAATGGGAAAGGACAGGAGACAAGTAAGAATTTCCAGGGGTTGGTTCATCTCCATACTGGCAAGAGCTGACTTGCAGATAACAGCAGCAGCCTGGAGGATTTAGTCATCCTGTGGATTTGAATACACAACACATTGCTGCTTCTAACTCTAACTTACTTGATTGTAACTCTACCTAAGCTTTAGGGAGGAAAAAAGGTTCGCCTGGAACTTTCTGGACATTAGGTGTGGCTGCTGCTCTCCAGCTATCACCCAGCACCTCTCATCCTCAGATGACAGTCAGCCTGCTCTTGCCTGCTTCTCCTCCTCCTTCCTCTCCAACAATCTCCTGCCCCAGCTCCTGCCTCTTCTAAAAGGTGTGAAAAAATAGCAGTGTGACTCTGGCTTTCTTGCCACTTTATGCGTGGCTTGAGTACCAGCTCCACCCACAAACAGTTCCCTCACTGCAGAACCCTGGGCCTTGTTTTGCAGTGGTGCCCTAGCTTCCTTCAAGCGCAACATCTTGTGAAAGCATATTTTATGAATACTTAATTGCCAGGCAGTAGGTTGTGCCCTTTCCATACCCGTGTTGGGTTTTGTTTTGTTTTAAATCCACTTAGGAGATACCACTCCATGGAAGGGGAAGTGAAACTTCAGAAAGTTCCAGGAAGCAGGTGCCTGGGGTCACAGAGTGCAGGGCAGAGGCCAGGACTCCAAGCCATCTATCTTTGAACCCTACATTCTTGACCAGAACATTCTAGTTATTTCACCAGGTTATGAAATTTACTACTTTCCACAGTGAATTCATCTCGATCCCTTCCTCCTTGCTCTCCCAGAATACCCTAGTTTATAATGACTTTACCTCCATCTTTCCTAAGACAGAAACCCCAAACCTGGCATAATCTGCAATGTCTCTCTTTAGACTTGAATTTGGTGGTAGTTTGAATGTAATTGGCCCCTATAATCTCTTAAAGAATGGCACTTTTAGGAGGTGTGGCCTTGTTGGAGGAAGTGTATCACTGTGGGGGCAGGTTTTGAGGTTTCCAGTGCTCAGGATACAATTTCCTGTTGTCTGCAGGATGTAGGACTCTCGGCTACTTTTCCAGCACCATGTCTACCTGCATGCTGTCTTGCTCCCCACCATGACAATAATGGACTGAGCCTCTGAACTGTTGGACACCTCAATTAAATGTTTCCATATAAGAGTTGCCATGTTCATGGTGTGTCTTCACAGCAATAGAAACTCTAGCTATGACACCTTGACCCCACGGTGTCCACCAGCTGTCTTTTGAAATTCTAATACCTTCCCTGGATCAAGTTCCCTTTACCTCTCCCATGGACTTGTGCTGTCACCAAAATTTCTGGCTCAGAAATCTGATCATAATCACAGTGTTGTCTTTCTTCTGGAAAGGAACTGAAGTTAACAACACACACAACAAAGCTAACCTTCACTGGTCTCACTATAGATGGAGCTTTGACAACACTGTCTCTATATTTTGGAACGTAATCAGAAACAGGTTTGCACTGTGATTCAATAATCACATACAGAGATCCCTATCTGTCATCAGGAATTAGGATAGGAAATTATGAATTAGGGACTGATACATTATGCCTCCGGTCCCCAACAGTGACCTAGGGTCTGCCATCAGCACTCTGCCTCTAAAGTTCCTAATTTTAAATTCCCAGAAGACAAATGTGATTACTTCAACTTGGATCACATGTTCACCCCAACAATAACTTAGTCTAAGCAACAGATTACCCTAAACCTACCTACAAATAGAGTTTATGCCCAAAGAGCAGAGGGAAGTTGAATAGCTGAGCACTTAAAGTTGCCCAGTGTTGACAACATGGCTGTGTCCTCACACCATAATAGTCACCTGAAGAAGGTAAGAGGCTCCCAGATACATCCAAAGAGAGCACCAGTTCAACTACACAGGCTGAAGATAATTTGACACATATTCCATAAGCTTCTGGTGGTAAACAGTCAACATCAACAAGTTCAACAGAAGGCCACAGCATCACTATAAAGACCAGTGTACACCTTTAATCCCAGACAGAGGCAGGTCAATCCCTTAAGTTTGAGGCCAGCCAGCCTGTTTACAGAGCAAGTTCCAGGACAGCCAGAGCTGCACAGAGAACCCTGTCTCAAAAAACAAAAACAAATAACAAAGAAGAGACAAAAAGGGCTTACAGGGCTGGGGAAGTAGCTCAGTTCATATAATGCTTGTAGCTGGGTTGGTGGAGTGCTGGTCTAGCACATATAGACTGTGTGTGGTAGTACAGGCCTGTAATCTCAAAATGGAGAGGTAGAGGCAGGAAGATCTAAAGTTAAAGGGCTTCCTCAGTTATAACCTGGGATATATGATTCCTTATTTTATAAAAGATTAACAAATAGAAACCTACCTAATTGGCCAGCAGCAGTAGGCCAGATAAAGCACGGCATGGTCACAGAGAATCATGAGCAAGTGCTCCACAGACCTGCATCAGACACTTGATGTGGAATCTATGTGCACAAAATGCTAA